CTAATCCTAGTCAGTGCTCAGTTTCTCCACACTCACCCTTAGGTGCTTCTGATCATGGTTTGGTCTCTCTAAAACTATTATCTCATTCTTCTTTACCATCAGAATCCCCCTATCATTGTACATCTTACAACTACCTTAAAGCTGACAGGGACTCTTTCCGTGATTTTTTTCATGACGGCCCCTGGGTAGATTTCTTTCTTCTTCCTGTTGAGAAATGTGCTTCTTACATAACTTCGTGGATTCAGGCTGGCATGGAATCTTTTATTCCCTCTTGATGATTCCAGGTCAAGCCTCACTCTTCTCCATGGTTTTCCTCACATTGTGCTGCTGCAATTGCTAATTGAAACCATTACTTCCATATCTATCAGCAAAACAATTCTCCAGAAAACAGACATCTGTTTATTACTGCTAGGAACCATTGTAAAAAGGTTTTGTCTAACGCCAAAGCCCGCTATTCTCAGATCATGAAATCTCATATTTCATCACAAAAATTAGGCTCTCGTGACTTCTGGAGAATCTTTAATAGTATCAATAATAAGGGCAAGTCTGTAATTCCACCTCTTTTGTATGGTTCAGACTTTGTCACCTCACCTAAAGACAAAGCTGAATTGTTTGCCAAGAACTTTTCATCAATATCATCTCTTGATTTCACTAGTTGCGTTCTACCTGATATAGCTGTTAAACAGGTTTATCTACTGCTCGACATCCGTATCACTCCAGCTTCTATATCTAAAGTGATTTCCTGCTTAGACTCTTCTACAGCTTGCGGCCCGGACAACATACCTGTTATAGTCTTGCAGAAATGTTCTCCGGAGCTGTCATCTATCCTTTCAAAACTATTTAACAAGTGTTTATCAGAGTCTTGTTTTCCAGCCTGCTGGAAAGCAGCACCTGTTATCCCTATTTTTAAAAATTCTGGAGAGCGATCTGATTCGTCTAACTACCGTCCCATTAGTCTTTTTCCTATCATAAGCAAGATTTTTGAATCTTTAATTAACAAACACTTAATCTCTCATCTCGAATCTCATAACCTACTTTCTGATCATCAATATGGATTTCGATCTTCTCATTCTACAGCTGATTTGCTAACAGTAATAACCGATAGGTTTTATCGCGCATTAGATAAAGGTGGAGAGGTTAAGGCCATCACTCTTGACATTTCTAAGACGTTTGATAAAGTTTGGCATGCTGGTCTTCTCCATAAGCTTTCTTTTTACGGTGTATCTGGAAACATCTTTAAGATTATCGAATCCTTCCTTTCCAATTGTAGTATAAAAGTTGTCCTTGATGGACAGCACTCTTCTTCTTATTCCGTAACCTAAGGGGTTCCTCAAGGTTCAATCCTTGGCCCTATACTCTTTTTAATTTACATTAACGATCTTCCAGATATTCTCACATCTAAGGTGGCATTGTTCGCTGATGATACTAGCATTTATTCTTGTCACGATAAGAAGCCAACTCCCACTGATTGCTTGCAGGGGGCATCTGAGCTTGAAAAGGATCTTATTTCTGCTACAGCATGGGGCTCACAGTGGCTGGTGAACTTTAATTCAGATAAAACTCAATTTTTTTCAGCCAATTGTTATCGCAATAATTTAGACCTTCCTATATTTATGAACGGTAATGTACTCGATGAGTCTCCTACCCTTCATCTTCTAGGATTAACTCTTACTTCTGATCTTTCTTGGAAACCTTATATCAAATCCGTTGCAAAATTAGCATCTGCTAAAGTCGCTTCTCTTTATTGAGCTCGTCACTTTCTTACTCTGGATTCTATTCTCTATCTCTATAAATCTCAAATCCGGCCTATTGCAAAAACGCATTGTAAACATAGTTGGACCTACTCTTGCAGCCAACCTTCAACCACTGTCACATCGTCGTAATGTTGCTTCTCTTTCTCTTTTCTACAAATACTATAATGGGCACTGCTCTAAAGAGCTAGCGTCTCTTGTGCCATCTACAAAAATTCATTCTCGTGTTACTCGTCATTCAACTAAGTCTCATCCTTTTTCTGTGACTGTTCCTAAGTGCTCCAAAAACTCTTATTCGTCTAGTTTTTTTCCTCGAACATCAGTACTTTGGAATTCGCTTCCTTCATCTTGCTTTCCTGATTCATATAATTTGCAATCTTTTAAGTCGTCTGTCAATCGTTATCTTGCTCTTCAACCTTCATCTTTTCTCTTCCAGTAACTTCCAACACTAATTAGTGGTTGCTTGCAGCCTTGTTGGAAGCGAAGATGTTAAAAAAAAAAAAAAAATACAGTCATGGCCATAAATATGAGAACAATGATAAATTTTCTATTGTTTCATGATTCTTCATCATGTAAGACAATTAGATAATAATTAGTTGTTAGATAATTGTTAGATAATAGTTGTTAGATAATAGTTGTTAGATGATAATTAGTTGTTTTCAATATAACGTACTTCCAAACCTTACAATACAGGGTCTTGTTTTCCGATGAATCAACATTTTCCCAGTTTGTCTCTTACACTAGGCATGTTAGAAGACCAGTCAATCAGCGCTACAATATCAGATATGTAGTCCCTACTGTAAAACAGGCTCCAATTAAATAGCTTGGGTCTGCTTTAGCAGAGCAGGCCGGGGCGATAACTGGTTTATGCCGAAGAACACCACCATTAATGTAGCAGTGTATTTCAATATCCTTAAAGAAAAGCTACCTCAGCATATGGCTAGTAGCAACTGCACCTCTTACCAGCATGATGGAGCTCCCTGTCACCACACTGGAGCAGTTAGCCAGTGTCTAATTGGTCAACACATCGATGTCTTAGGACCTTAGCCTGGTTCCAGCCTGGACCTTAATCCTTTAGAAAGTTAATAAATGATGATGAAGTGGAAAGTTGCTACGAAGAATCCTAGTTCAGGCTTGGTCTGGAAGCGGGAGCGATCGCTCTCGAATACTGACCACGGAAATTATATTTAGTTGCAAAAAACTGGCCAGGTTTTTTAGTTTAAATTTTTGTTTTACGGACATACATGGAAACATAAAAAACTTAAATGTTCTCAAAACATCTTGGTGCGGAAGAATAAAAAGTATATTTGCGAACACTAAAAACCTGCCAAATTAACGAACAAACTAATTCTATTGGTTCAAAATATTACATAAATTAAATATTCAAAACTAATTCTATTGGTTCAAAATACGCTGACTAAGCGAAATAAAGTTTTAGAACATTCTATTGAAATGTTTTAGAATTTGTATAATTCACGATTTGTTTTGTTTTATGATTTCTAACATAAATTGTTTTAAGAATATATTATCAATACTTTGGCTCATTCTTGGAGCCACATCTACAAAGCTGTAAACTATTATTATTTGTTTACAAAAATAAATGTTTTAAATATATATTATTTAAATTGTCAAAATTTTGAAAGTTTATTATAGATTATAGATTTTATTAGTATATTTTTATTTTTATTTAAAAAGTATGAGTTCTTTATGTAAATTTAATTTTGTGTATCTGTTTTATCGTAATGTATCTTTTAAAGCAATTTTTATGATTTAATTTGTAAACAAAGACTTACAAAAATATTTGCCTTTTCAAATTAATAATAATCATTATTAATTTGAAAATAAAGTTAATAAAACTAATTATGTAACAAATATATAAGAAGTTTCTGATTGCTAAACACAAACAACGCATACAAAGTAATTCACGGATAAACAAGCACCGCGCCTAAGGTCACAACAGAACACAAATATATCTAGCAAATTATTAGATATAAAGTAAAGTTTCTAGATATTGGTTTACTAACTCTAATTTTTTTCGCTTCAGTTCCCATTCCTAAAAACTCGTTATACTTTTTTTTGTTTTAAATACTAATTAAAATTAAAAAGCCCAATCACTAAACATCATCAGCGATATTGTGAAGCAGTTTCGCTTCCTCGTCATATAGTATTTTTAACCTTTTTAAGTTGATTTTTATCTAGGTAATTTAATATCTTTAATAATTCAATGATTTAATTATTTCATTTGTTTATTTTACTAAGAAAAATTGTTTCAAATATGTTAAACTTTTTAAACTACGCGAAACATAAAATAGGTAATAAAAAAATTAACTTTTTTATTTATAAAATAATTTAGCTTAAAAAAACGAAAACTTGCAAACTTTGTTAATCAAAGAACATTTGTTTTCTTTTTAAACAATCGTAAGATGTTACTTTATATAAAAAAACGCCGCTTAATTTTATAAAAAATGATAGAGCGATATTTCGAAATATTTGTTCTAAACGTAATTTATTTTGCTTTAAGTTTTTTCGCGTTAAAAAAGATTTTTTTTTTTTTCCCTAATTTTTTTTTTTTTTTTTTGTAATTGTCTCTCATCAGCCCAATTAATCTTTAGCGCAATTTTTTTTTGCTTTTTGAAATGTTCTCAAAACAACTAAAAAATCTGGCCAGCTTTTTGCAACTAAATATTATTGCCGTGGTCAGCAATCGAGAGCGACCACTCCAGCTTCCTGACCAAGCCTGCTAGTTCTGAAAACACCCTTAAAAAAGCGATCATAACTGTTTGGACTCAAGAAATAACACTGGAATATTGCCAAAAATTAGTTGATTCAATGCCTGAGAGGATAAGGGCTGTGATGCCCTTATTCTCTCAGGCATTGAATCAACTAATTTTTGGAGCACCAATATTTGGTGGGCTGCCCTTAGTTGGCTTAAGCCAACTAAGGGCAGCCCACCAAATATTGACTTTTGAGACAATCACACTTTTAAGATGCTTTTTTACTAATAATTTAATCATATTTTATAATTAAAGCACAAACTAATTGTTATTGGTGTTAACTGCTTGTTATATTCAGGTTCTAAAAGCCATACTATAAAAAATGCAGCGTTCTCATATTTATGGCCATGACTAT